CTGCTCTATCACCTTCAAGACCATAAAACAGAGACCTATTCTCTACAGACCTGTTCTCAGTAGTATTGTTGGAACAAAACCAAACAAAACCAAAACCAAATGAGTCCCCCCACCAAAAAAAAAAAACCTACCAAACAAACAAAAAAAAAACCCAACCAGTTTTGGAACAAGTTTGTAAATTCTGCTTTATTCAGGCCCTTAAAATGATATAAATGCAAAACAAAAGCAGAAAGATACCCATATTCTTTAGAAGTTTTGAAATCACCATAAAAGAACATAAAAATAATTTTTTTATTCATAGAAAGTTGTATTTCAAAGAGAAGGAAGGAAGGAAGGAAGGAGGAGAGAAGGAGATGAAAGAGGCAAGAAAGGCAAAGGAAAAAAGGAGAACAGAGAAAGGAAGAAAGAAACAGGAAAAGAAAGGAAGGGAAAGGAGGGGAGGAAAGGAAGAAGAGAAAAGAAAAGCTAAAGTGGAAGGAGGAAAAAAGGAAAAGAGGAAAAAAGGAAAATGAAAAAAGGAATTACATCATTTAAGTGTTCTGTACAGTATAAGAGGTTTATAAAGCATATTCTACTGATATAAGCTATTTAAAATGTTTTGTTGGTTTGTTTTTTTCAGAAATTACTTATGGGAAATACAGTATGCTCTGTTAATGCAAATATGAAGGGGATTATTAGTTTAGCAAACTACAGAGATGGAGAGGGATTATAGAGGTGATCTTTGTTTTGTTTTGAGTAATTTTATGATCACTTTTCTAGCTATTTCAGTATTTGTATTACAGAAACAGTATAATACTTCTAAGCTATGTATAGCCACACAAATATTACAGCTGATGCTTTGCATACATGTATGTAATTTTGCAGACTGACATTTTGATTATTTACTACCAATAAGATAATTTTTTTTTCTCTGTGTAGTTTTTATTTAATGAGGTCTTTAATTTTGTTATCCCCCCCATACCTCAATTAATGTAAGTTATTTCGTCAGTAACTCTGTACAGTACCTAGAAAATGTAAAATGCTTCACTGGAAATAAAAAGTATAATTCCAAGGATGGAACTGAGTTTGTAGAGGAGGATTTAAGTACTTTAATTTCTTTAAATTATTATATAATTAATTTGGTTTACCTTGCATAAAAGATAAATGTTTTGTCAGCTGTGCTGCATTAATTTCCATGTTTTAGTATGACTTATCTGTAGTCCAAGAAGTATAACTGAGTCCTTCTTTCTAGGACTTCGTTTTACTTCCAGACTACCAATCCTTCTCTGATGTATTGCTGAAATAATGGCAGATTTTGACGTCTCGTGTCCTTTATATGTCTATGTGTTGCATGTGGGACATGAAGTATACTGAACTTCTGATGCATTAGATTTCACTGCGACAGCCCTGCTGTGCTTAGCAGGGCACTGTATAAAATAAAACTTGTGGAGCCACAGGTGAATCTCTTTTACCTACCGAAAGAATTAGGGCAGTGAGAATGTGGGCTCCTGTGGGGAATGGCAGCAGTAGTTCCAAGGGTGACAGCTGAATTGGGCAAGTATTATGCCAAAACTTGTATTGAACTGGGCAAGTATTTTGCTCTGGCTTTCTGGCAGTGTTGGGTGTGCTGTCTTAAAACACTAGTGTACTTCTCCCCTAAAATCGTGCAATGGTTTCAAGGGCTCAGGACAAAAGTGAAACAGCCAGAGCAAATTTCCTCACCCAGTTTTGTCCAAGAAGGTTGTTTCCCTCAAGACAAGTGTACTTCATCTCTTTATCATTCCAGTTCTGTGTCTTAGTTCCAGACTTGCTCTATATAGTAAAATAATGTAAATACACATTTTTAAAAGAAACCACTAATAGCTATTCAGCTAAGTTTCTACGAACAAATATTATGTTACTTATTATCATCTAAATTTATAATTCATCTTAATAAAGGAGGATTTCACTCTGAAATTCTTAGACAAATCTGTGCCTGATGGAGTTGCAGTTCTTTCCAAGCAGTTCAACTCACTCAAAGCAGTAACTTGTGATCAAAAAGATGCTTTTTATTTTGCTCTCAACTTTTTTTTAGAGCAGATAGAAATCTTCCACACAGCCTCAGTAATAACCACTACAGCAAAAATGCACCACACAGTCCAATTGTAACCCAGTAGAATTATACCAGGATTGATTTTTTTATCTCTATGGTCTCTCCATGTGTTTGAACACTTTGGAAAAGATGAAAATACAATAAATAATATGTATTTAGTCTATATGCTGTACTTCTAGGTATGATGTGTAATCGCAGCACACTTTTACAAATAACAGCCATTTTTGAGGTTAAGTAGATCTTCCTGCTTTATCATTGCCAAGAAAAAGAACCTAGTTCATATTGTACTTTTGAGACATGGACATTCTTTATTTCAGAAAACAAATAAAAGGTATATAGATCTTTTTATTATATGCTCTCTGCTTCTCTTGGGATGTGAAAGTGTCACAAAGAAAGGAACTAAAATGCACCAACCAAAATGGAGTAAATATCTTTGTTGTTGCCTTTCTTCTGTGTAGGCTTCCTGCATGGCTGGAATAAACTTCTTCTGGGAGCATTAAAAGTAGTGCAGTATACACAAGTAATCTGGAATAAGGAAGACCAAGTCTTGAATGCTAAGGTTTTGTCAAGAATACTCCCCTTTTCATGTTTGTTTCCTACTTAACTAACTGTCCAGATGTATTGTGATTCTATATAGTATTCTGAAATAAAAAAGGATATGGCTTAATTTCTTTTCAGAATTATGTATGTGTCAGGAGAGAACTACAAAATGTACAAACTTCAAGACACTTTTTCTAAAAACAAGAAAAATACAGAAAGCCTTTTTTTTAAAATTTTGTCTTATAAAATGCTATGAGTAAATGTGTGGTAAAACACCAAGAGGGCATAAATTTGACAGCTTCCTACTGTGAATTGTTATTGAACATGTTTCATGGCACATGTTCTTTCAGAGGAGAAGGCAGCTCTTTCCATCACCATCCTAAAAACTAAGGACTTTGTGCAAGAGTTAGTGCGTATAATTCTTTTACCCTTTCATTCTTTCTATTCAGAATAGATTTATCATTTTTTAAATGTGGAAGGACCTTACAAGTATACAGACTTAATTAAAAGTTAACTTTTTTACTGCGAACTTTATCCTTTCTTACGTGGCTGTTTACATCAGGATAGTAACACTTAACCCAGCTTAAATAAAATCTCCAAATGCATACATGGAGAGAAAGAAATTTGGTAATAGAATATTCTTCAGTCAAGCAAGCAGAAATAAAGTATTGCAGATAGAAGCTGAAGCTAACAACATTCAGACTTGAATTAAGGTACAAATTTTCAAGTAAGGGCATTCATACCTGGAATACTAGACATTGTTATGTACCTCAGTAATGGCATTTTTAAAAATATAAATTGCTTATTTAACACCAATCAATAAACATATAGTGTTTATAATATATTTGGATTCTGCAGAGTTACGTCTGATGTATCCAAACTCATTCCTAACTACTTTACTGCTAGGATGACCTTAGATAAGTAAAATAGTTGCATAAAAACTTTTATACTGTACTGAAGACATTGCTAGCCCACCTTAAAATTGCCCCAAATACTGTACTAGTCATTGCTCTGCAAGGAATAGGTATCCAGTTAAGGACATTTGGAACAGCAGTAGGTGAACAAGGACAATCCACTCATGATTCAGTGCAGCTAACATTGCACTTAAAATATCAAATAAAACCAATTCAATTAGGAATGCACCAAGTAGACAGATTGTGTGCTTCCCTCCTTCAAAGTCATTCTTCTAAAGAAAATTGCAACAAATTTCCATTGGGGACTGTCTGTGATGCTCAGTTAGTGCTGGGTCTTGCTCTCAAATGCCATAAATCACTTGCTCTTTCACACTTCATCCCTAGCACTCCCATTTCGGGTAGCAAGAAAACCACCACCACCAGAAAACTTAGTGCCCAAGCATCCCAGGAGAAAATGCAGAGCTTTATTCACTAGGACATTTTCTTTGTGTCTTTGTTTGAAAGTAAGCGAATGCGGCTGCACACAGAGTACGTGTGTGCTCACGCATGTACGTGTTTAAATTATTATTATTATTTTTATTCTTTTTAATGGGCTTGATTCAACCACCGTTCCCTGCGAATGAATCTGACCTTGTGGAGCTGCAGCATGCAAACGTCTTGGAGAAGGGCAGCCAGCGTACAAAGGCTGCATTGACTGTGTGGGCAGGCAGGAATGCTGGTACCAGGCAGCTCTCTAAAGAATGTTCTTTTGGCAGAAACAGCCGTGCTAAAAATGAGGGGGAAAAATGAATCCAAAACGTAGAGCTGGCCTGCAGTTACGGAGCGATAAGAAAAGTTGGCTGTTCAACATGAGCTGCCAGTTGCACATTCTGGGTCCTTGCTATTCTCAGGCCCTCCTACATCCGTGGCCTCAACCAGTGTTTTGGTACAGCACAAAGTGGCTGTTTATTGCTATTGACTTCTGAGGCCTGGGCTCCAAAATGCATTCTGTCAACAGAATGTAAGTGAACTTGGCATTTTAAAGCTCAGCTGCTGCAGACACCCAGATTTCTTGGAACTGCTATGCAGCAGGACCGGTGTTGCAGTCCCCAGCTGAAACTGAAAATGTTGCACCGGAAGACGTATCACGTGAAGGTCAGATTTACCTGAGACCCTGGGGGTTTTGTGTTTGTTTGTTTTTCCCTCATCAGCACAGTAAATATAACCTGTCCTTCCTTTGTTGCCTGTCAAAGGCTACACTTTTAACCATCTGCATTTTGCTCAGTATGCTCTCTATGAAAGAAAGGTCACACTCAATGCAAAAGGCCTTCATGTGAAAGGGGAACATGGCTGTGTCTACAGTACATGGTACTGCCATAAAAGGAGTAATCAAAACCTGTGCTCTGTGTTGCACTGATTTTTCCACTCTTTTGAAAAATTATGGTTTCTATGATTTTTTAGGAAATCACATGTATTGTTTTCTATTGCTTTCATAGGAACTACAGGCAGAAATTGATGCTCACACTGACATCTTTCACAGCCTGGATGAAAACGGGCAGAAAATCCTGAGGTCCCTTGAAGGCTCTGAAGATGCAACCCTCTTGCAGAGACGCCTGGATAACATGAACCTCAGATGGAGTGAACTTAGGAAGAAATCTCTGAACATTAGGTAGGACTTGAACATGAGCAAAAGCCTCCTGTTGGTGTGTAAGACAGAATGCTGCATTTTGCAAGTAAAAATGTTTCTGATAGCACTGTTTTTGTCTATTTTGAAATTATTTCTGCTACTTTGAATGTTGGCTTAACTTTGTAAGAATTAGGTTTTTTGGTGTGAAAATGATAGTAGAGGATTAGGATTTGAGGCATATGATGAACTTTTGTAATTACAGAGGGAGAGATTAGCATGTTTAAACAGTAACTGTACCCCCTCTAAATGTAAGCTTTTTCTAGAGCTGGATATGACTTATCAATGAGTCTTGAAAGTGAGTGATTAAATAACCAGTATTTATGATAAGCTTTATTTTGAAGGCTGCTATTTCCAGTGCAAAACTAAAAATAGCCTTGCAAATGAGAAGACTATTTAAGGTTTTAGCTGTTGTGTGGAGAATGGACAGAATTGCCAAATAAAATCCAGGGGTAAAAGAAATCCATAGGTAGTGTCATGAGAGGAAAAAACTTTTGATTGCAGGGGAAAATATAATAAAAGGTAACATTGCAAATGATCAAGTGGTCGTTCAGACTTCAAAGGACTGAAGATTTCTTTTCAAAATAATTTATCCAGGAAACTTTCCTTCAGAAATATGACTTTTACAATAGGCAACCCAGCTCTGTTGCATTCAGTCTCAGGCATTTTTTCATTTGCTCACTTGCTGTGTGTTGGTGGTAGTTCAGAGGACAGCAAAAGGCAGAAGTGTTTTCCAAAGTAATGTATGAAATATTAGCTTTCTTCAGCTCAGGTCCTGAGGGAGGTCAGGGTGTGTAATGACAAAAGCCATCTTCATATCATCAATCATTAAAAATAAATAAAGGATGTGAGGTTGAAAAGATTAGTAGCTAAAGAAAAAGAGACACATTCCTTCTTTTTTTTCTGAGGAGCAAAAGAAGAAGGATAAAACCCTTCACGGTCTCTGAGAATTTTTTCATCACATGCATACTACCCATGAACTTGCTCAAATGCAGTGATGTTTGAGATAAAAAGTGGTACATATACAGAAGAAATATTTAGAAGGTGTCATTATGATGGAGACCTTTTTTGCATAAAGTGGTATTCTAGCGTTTAATTTTTCCAATTGAATTTTTCCAATTCAATTAGTTTCATACACACCTCTGTTCAAATGGCACAGACAATTGCCTCAGTAGTGTATGGGGATTCTGTTGGCTTTAACAATCTCCTCATTATTTTTTTTTCTTTTTTGAAAGAATTTCATTTAAAATAAGAGAATGAATCTTATGTGAGCTAAATGGTTTACATAGTGGTTTAAAGAAATGCTTGCTCTTCTCTGAGTTGGAAAACTGCTCTCTACATTTCAGGTAATTAAACTCCCAGTAATCCTAAGTGATGACTACACTACTCTTATGCTAGTCCTGCATAATATTTGTGCACTTCTAGGGAGACTGACAATTCAACACAGCTATTACTCACTGCTGAAGAGGAAAACTTAAAAACCAAAACAAACCAAACAATTAAAAACAAAAAACAAGAGACGCGAAAAAAGCCAAGACTGCAGAAACAAATTTAAATCTGTGTTGCCAGAATCTAATTCAAAGCTACTGAAGCTGTTTAAAAATCATTAAGTTAATGAAACACTAGGATTTTTTCTAGTAAATAAGCTTGTACAATTTGGTTTTTACTTTCACTGTGACTGAATCTATCTTATATTTAACACGTGCCTTCAGATCCCATTTGGAAGCCAGTACCGACCAGTGGAAGCGATTGCATCTCTCTCTTCAGGAACTTTTAGCATGGCTGCAGTTGAAAGAGGATGAATTAAAACAGCAAGCGCCCATTGGTGGAGATCTTCCCACTGTGCAGAAACAGAATGACATCCATCGGGTATGGGCTTTTTAAAAATCTTTTGGTCATTGCTTTTTGTTTGGCAGGTTAGTGCTGCATGACACGGTCCTTGTTGGAAGAAGGAAGACACCATTTAAAATACATTTTAGAATGAAAACCAAAGTTCTTCCTTGAGAATAATAACTTTCAAACACAGAAGAGAAAATCAACCTTTTGGAGAATGGAGTGTTTACTACCGTGACCTTCACAGACCTATCACAGAAAGGCAGATTTCATGGCCAGAACAATTACTAACTCAGTATTTTTTGAGGATTAAATAAGTAGTTCTGAAAATTTTTCTAGATCAGGCATTTAAACTTCATGTGTACTTTTTGAAACCCTATTTTGCTATTGAAAAGAGTAGCTGATATCAGCCCTAATGCACAGCTCTGCATCATTGTGACAACTCGCTATGGCTCACACTGGTTTCATCATGGAATTCTTATGGAAAGGCAATAGCAGTGTCATATGGGGACTGTTCTAGACTAAGATTCGCATTAACAAGGAACCTACATTGAATGCTTGTATGGAAAGTTGATTTTTTTAAAATCCACCAGATGAACAACCTCCAAAATAACACAATACTTCTGAATAATTCTTCATACAAAGATTCACACAGATTTTTTGGTGGTAAAGGTATACTTTAAGTATATCTCCTGCGTTGAACCAAGTTCTCTCACCTATCTGATGCTAACCTAATGTCTGCTTTCAGGTAAACAGCTTTTAATTTAACTATGCCATTGAGGTCTATTCTGATCTGAATGTGAAATCACACTAGTACCTCCACTATACACTTTTCCTTTTCTTGGAATTTACTTGGATGTAGTATTCAAGCTCTCCTCTGCTTCATCCACATGTGTCTTTAATTAAAATAATAACGTTATGGGAGGTGTTTTACCTCCTCTTTGGTGTCCAATTATGCTTCAGTGGGTTTCTAAAAAGTTATTTTGAACAAATGTATTTTTATTGAAAAATTTAAATTGTCAGCCAGACAACTTGCTTCCACAAGAAGAGAGTGTTTCAAAACCAACGATCATCCTCTCAAAGCATTGTGCTGCATATATGTAACTTTCAGTTTGTGAAGCTTGCCACGAAAGGTATTGTTTCTGAAGTTCCTAAATCTCTGATTTTATTGCCTAATGGAGAAATGTGAAATGTTACTATAAAATGAAATTGTATCTGTGTTTTTTCCATTCATCAGGTAGCTAAATATAAACATTGCTCTCCTTCATGCAGAAAGACACAATTGAGAACAAATAGTGAGACAAAATTTGGAAAGAGAACATGACATATCTTGCTGCTTCAAGTTATTTGGAACTCTGAGTTTGTGAAAAATCAAGAAGTACCATATTCAGTCAGGCATGGATTTTGGCATAGCCAAAAGTTATTCTCATCAGTAGCAGACTGATGGGAACCAGTGCCAATATGGTTTCTCGGGGCCTATCTTCACCAAATGGCTGAAGAAACCAAAGAGAAAGAGGAACAAAACCCCTCTCTCTTAGTGCCAAATGCTTTTCTAAGATAATGCTTTGCTGCAAGGGGCAGCTTGGTCGCGTTTAGATCTTCCTTCTGGAGAGGTGATGCGTAGGACGTGTCTTTCTCACCAAACTTTACTCAGGACTTAAAGCATTATCACAGAAACAGTGAGGAATCCATGACTTTATGGAGCAGGACTATTCCTTTTTTCACCTTTCCACCATGAAAGTTAAGATATATGGTATGCCTGAGGTCTGTTCTAGCCAGCTGTCTGTAGCAACTTCCATAAAGTAGTTTTAAAGCCCATCCAGAACATCAGGATGAAAGACACAATATAGATGTTGCTTTAACTCAGCATAACATTAACTCAACCCGTTTCTCCAAAGACTACTCTTAAGCCAAAACAAGACTTAGAGAATGATTTTTGTAGAATTGTTCCAATAAAGGTTTTCTCATCTAAATAGTATTTGAGTCTTTGAAAACATTGGTTTTTTCTCCTAGACAGAAGAAATATTTTTTCATCTAAAGAAATTACTTCTCATAAAATTTTAGTATTGTATATTGCTTTATAAGCTGTTTGAAAGTTACCCAGAATTCACCATAAAGATGGCAGGACTTCAGTGATGAACTAAGTGATCTCTCTGTCTCTCACCAATCAAACGAAGTATTTAGAACTTTTAGAGATAAAAAGTGTTGTATGAAAGTAAATTACCATGAATAGATGCAACATGACTTTACAAAATAGATCTTCTCATTTCTCCTTTATACCTTCTCTGCCACTTGTAGATGCATAACACAGATTTTTGGTCATCCTGTCTAGTATTGAAGTTAGAACATTTTAGTTCCTTTTAGAAATATGTCTTCTTTCCTTTTCCCATTCTGTTGCACCGCAGGAGTCTGATGTGAGGCCTTTCTAGTTGTAGGTATTCTGATTCCCTATGGAAGAAGAACAAACAGAATCACTGAAATTAATTTATCCTGTCTGATCTTCAAGTATCTCTTATAGAGGACGGAAAAGAATCAGTACAAAATTCTGTCTCCTGTTCATCAAAACATTACTTAATTATCTCACAGTTTTCTTTGCTTTACTAAGTATCATAATATTGTTTTATTGAAATTTTATTAACTACTATTTATCTCATTTAAGTAACTTAGACATCTTGCAGATAGCCTGCTATGTCTTTCATTCTTTTGAGAGTTGCCTCATTTTCTATGTAGTGATTTTATTAACAGCATAAATAGCATTTACGAATATAGAATGTAGTTATTAACAATTCCATGGAAACCCTTTCACATGAAATCTATAGCACCACTGCCTAAGGAGGAGTACAGTTCCTGCTTCGACACACTAACCTTTTCTGGTGGCACAGTTGATATCTACTTTTAACAATTGAAGTCAAAACGCCTTTTTTAAAAAGCATTCTGGTTGGCAAACATCTTGAATTAATCTAATTGTACTTTTTTGCTTTAAAATTCATTGAAAGAAAAAATATCTTTTTTTTTTTAATAACAGAGATTAATGTTAGTTTTATTGATGTAACTCTTTTCTCATTATATTCACATTTTTCAATTTAAACAATCTTTGTTTCTTCATTTAGAGAGATTTAAGGACACTCAGGAAGAGGTAGTGGAGGTCTGAGATAAGCTGATCAATATATGCATTATTAAAACAGTGGACAGAATGCCATTACTGCTGTAGTGTTGATGACAAATAGACATGGTTAAATAAAGTAGTTTACTTACTTTTTTGTCAGGTCATACATTATGCATATTCGATTTCCTCTACAGTCACCACAAAGTGTGGAAGAAGTTAAGGAATTCAATGAAATTAGCCTGAAATCATTAGCTGTACATTAGACATTAATTTAGGCTAATTCTGCTTTCAGTGATGGTCTGCTTATTATAAAGATGTATTTGTCAGGACTCTAGATGGATAATTTTTTTTTCTCCAAAAGTAGAGAAAATGTACTTTATTACTGCTTATGATTTTTATTGGTAGCATGTACATATTTCACAATAAAACTTCAATCAGAAAAGCAGCTTTACCTTCATAGAGTAAGAACTTCTCTTGGAATGGGTTAGTATGAAATGAACATTCATTATTTCTAATGTTGTTCTGTGCTACTGCTTCAGCCTCATGTTTTTTTAATCCTCTCCTTTTCAAATTTCTCATACTGAAACATATTTTAACTCACTCAGTAGAAGTTTGCAGATCAAAACTAGGGAAGGAGATGAGAATTGTAAATAGATCTCAACACCACACTGTGTACTATTCTGTAACTCAGGATTTACAGACTATAATCACCTCCACCAGCTCCAACATTCAGAATGGAAAAGTTGAGGAGGAAAAATGTAACACATTGGCTCACTGTTTTCAGTGTTAGAAAGACTTTTTCTGGTTGTGGCTAAATACAAAATGTACAAAATCTGAAAGCTCCCATTCGCTATTGTTTTGGGAAAGATACAACGATTCCTGCTCAGACACTTTTTGGGATGCAGTACACATACCTGGTTATGTTCTCCTGTTGCACAAGAGGTACAGCAGAAATATGACTTTAAACATCTCCTTGAAATATAATGCCACTACATGTATTTGATTGCTGTGGTTTTCTGCAAAAGTAGGACAAGCTGAAAGAAGGTATTTTGTGTCCTTCTCATGGAGTGCACATGTACATAGCTAGGGGTGACCTGACTTCAGCAGCAGCACAATTTACAGCAGGACTCACTCCCAAATGCAGAACTCAGAGGTATTTCTGGCTTTTAAGTATCCTATCCTTCAGTGTATTTCTGTGTCCCCCTGGAATATCCATGACTCCTTCCTGCTGTTGATGTGTGTTGGCAGGACAGACCTCAGTGCATGTGCCTCCTACTTGACTGACTTTGGGCACAGACATTTCTGAGAAATAATTTATCTTTGTAGATTTTTATAAAGCACATTATATCTTTAAGCTGTTATACCATTTAGTGTTTAAAAAACACTGGTTTAAGTGAATTTGACTGTTGATGTTACTTTTAGCACTATCAGATGGGAGCAAAGCTGACAGTCCGTGGGGACTACCATGCTGGCTTTTAAGTTATGCTACCTGCTGGCTTACTTGAGCTGCAGACCTGCCACACCATTCTAGTGGGATAGAATGATGTGAGAGGACAACAAAGGCTAATTTAAGCAATAGATTTTCCTCTTTTGGAGGCATTAAAAGAGTTTATTATATTTCCTCTTTCCATTGCATTTCATGCAAGAGTCAAACATGAATTATAAGAATTACAGACCTAAAAATGTCTAAGTTTCAACCCTGTAGTAAACCCACTCAGATTTTATGCAGAGCAGTGTCCAGCGGTAGTTTACTTGTTAATATACAGTACTCTACTTTATTTGTGAAAATCGGTGTTGGGTTTTAAAACATTGTTTAAAACATTTATCACAGTTATTAATAAAACAGCAGATTCTCTTATGATAGCAGATACATTCTGGGAAAAGATTCTAGTCCCATCAATGTCCTTGGCACAAAATGAAGATTTTTTACTTTATTTCATTCAGCCAAGTGGACTTTGCTAAAGGGTTCTCCCAAGCACAGTTACAGACCTTATGGTCAGTTCTTGACCATTTAATAAAAAGTGTATTTTAATATTTATAATAGAATAATATAGTCATTTCCCTAAGTTTACTTTCCTGAAATATGTTAAGAACTTCTTACCTATGAGTCCTCATATTATAAACTGAGGTGTTCTCATTATTAGTTCTGGTAGGTATTTCCTGTGCAGAGAGTCACATATCAAATATAATTCAAAGTGTAATTAACTTTTTAATATTGAATTTATAATCCTTCATTAGTTTGCATAGAAATACAAATTTGGTTTAATAATTAATTTAACTGAATTGGTGAATTTATTGTGATAGATGCTTATATAATGCCAGCGTTGTAAAAAGAATTTTCTGATCCCTGGAGTAAAATTTCTGTTTTCTACCCATGGCATATGGCTCTCCTTTTTGCAGTGTTGTGTTTTGTGTTACACTGTGCTATAATTATCTGCATAATTTACCTCTATGCTACTTGAAAATGGTATGCATTCAACATTGTTTCATAAATACACAAGAAAATGTTGAAATGAAACAGTGGTAAGGACCACTTAGATAAATTCAGTACAACATACAAAAGTACCAATGCAATATGCAAGCCACAGGCTGAGTTTCATCTGCATGTTTATGCAGAGAACATTTGGATTCAGATTAATGGATTCTTACACTCTCTTAAACAAAAATAGATAAATGAATTAATGAATATATACTGAGATATGTGTATTTTCAGTAGCCTATGAAAATTTCAAATATTAATCTTGAGAAACTTACTCATGGTCATTTTAAAAGCAGGGAGTAGAAGAGAGATAGTAAAAGCAGCTGCTGCTGAAGGAAGAAGAATGTGGCATGCTGGCAGTACATTTGCTCCTTTGAATATAATGTGATTTCAGGTTAAGCAAAAGCTGATTATCTCTTTATATGTTTTTGTTGTTACTTGTCATACACACATGCAAGCTGTTGTTGGAAATTTTGTTCTTAAATTGATGCAAACAAGGTACTTCATTACAGATCCACTTACAATAAATTTGTTTCTTAGACTTTCAAGAGGGAGATAAAAACAAAAGAACCTGTTGTCAGGAGTGCACTTGAGACTGTGCGAATCTTCCTCGCTGAGCAGCCTGTGGAGGGACTGGAGAAGATCGGCCCAGAAACAAGAGGTAATTGAAGAAAGAACAGGGTGATAACACATTGCTGGAAAGATCAGTGATGATCAGCGATGATTAAATAAATTCTGCCAGCCGCTCTGAAAGCATTCCTTTTACACTCCAAGCTGAATGCCAGTATTCAGAAACTAAGCTAAAAATATAGATGAAAGCAAGCCTTAGCAATCCCTCTGAACACTGTGGTACTAAATAGACATGCATATTTATAAGCAGATTTTGAAACTGCCTTTAAACCTTCAGGACTTGTCTATAACTATAGGCCCATTTGAGGTCTCAAAGCTACAATTTAAGCTAAAATTCACCTTGTAGTCTCAGTACTACAGAAGCTCACAAATCCACTCAATTGCAGCAAAAGCTTCACAGTGAATAATATTTATCTATGTGCAGAAATATTGTGCTGAATCAGGACACAGCTGATAAACTTTTAGCTATACCTTGCATGATTCAAAATGTCTTTAAGTACTTAAATGCGTATTTTGTTGATCTTTATGGTGTCAAGATTTAAAGTTTTTATGAGATTTGGAAACCAGAATACATTAATAAAACAAATTTCACAGGTGCATTTGGTTATGAATAGTTTCTCACTGAGATTTGAACTTTCGCAGATGGCAATGGCTTTAGTTCTAAGGCAGAATATGTCTTAAGAGCCTCTTAATTTTCACATTTAGATTTGTCACCTGAGGAAAGAGCCCACCATGTCACTAAACTTCTCCAAAGGCAAGCAGATGAGGTCAGAACTGAGTGGGATAAGCTGAATGTGCAGTCTGCTGATTGGCAAAAGAAGATAGATGATGCTCTTGAAAGACTGCAGGCCCTTCAAGAGGCAATGGATGAACTGGATCTGAAACTACGCCAGGCTGAAGCATTCAAGGGATCCTGGCAGCCAGTGGGGGATCTGCTAATTGACTCTCTGCAGGATCACTTAGAAAAAGTCAAGGTATGTATCAGTATATCAGTATTTCTGCGTATAAAACTGTTCATTGCATGAATCCCTAGATCAGGAATTATCTTTTAGAATGAGAAATTGATAGCTTTGTACCATATTGATTTATATTAAAAAGCACATATAAAGAGTTTTATAACCTCAGCAATTAAAATACAATTGAATGAGTGTTGAGAATGTATATTACTGACATGGGTAAAAGCACTACGTAAATGTGTAAAAATCCTCAGCACACTCACTGTTAATTCAAGAGATGCAGAGTTAAAAGTTAAAGAAAGCAAAATGCAGTAGATAGGGGAATATATGATAAAAGTATATAAAATTAATTTTGTTCTTTATTATACTTTTTAAGGTATGATGACTGCATTATTGTGTTTGTACTTGTAGAATAGGTTTTAAATAATTTAAAATATGTGGGTTTATTGGTTTTTTTATTTGCTATCTGTCTTTTTTGATAATTAGGCTTAATAACTAAAGATAGTCTAAAAAAAAAGCTGCAGCCCTGGAAAACCTGTCATTATTTTCTATAACTTAATGCCTATCTTCTTTCAGGGGTTGTTTCATAAAATCATTGCTTATTGAGAAACTCAGGCAGACTTGTCCTCTTTCAGCTTGACTGCCATGGCCAGATTTGATAAATACTACAGGATTCCTTCAGCTAGAGCACAATAGAGGCAGTTGCCATTTTGATAAGAACAAAGTGTCTCTGTTTCAGTCGCATAAATGGGAATCATCAGTCATTTTGAAAGAGACCTGAGCTAACTGTTATTTTCTCCAGTAGAACACTAGGATCTAAGAAAGAGGAAATAGAATGACTAATGGCAAGAAAAGAATGCCTTTAAAAATCAAATGTAGTTTATTAAAATAGAAGCCCTTGAATTTTAATCACACAGAAAGTTTAATGAGTATCCTATACAAATACTATACAAGAACAAATGAAATACTTGTTAGCTGTTGAAAAGCTAGCTGCAAAATTTGTTTATCTTCATTTAAATTCATAAATGAACAGAAGAGATCTACTTATAAATTCCCAGAAAGTGCTATTGCAGCCATAGGCAGGTTTTTTCATAAATTTTGAGGAAGGTATTCTGAACAGAAACACTGAATCTCTGATATTACAGGAAAACAAAGACAGGTGGCTTGATTCTAAACTGTGACCAGAAATGTTGAATCCATAATTATAGTTCTGAGTCCTATTATGGTTTAAAAAATCTGTCCTAGATAACATAATGGATGTCTTATTAATTGATTCACTTAAAGGTTAAATACTTTTCCTTTGCAAATGTTTCAATTAAAAATTAAATTTGTTGAAAAATACACAAGTTATGTAGCCTTCAGTTAAAAGCTGTTAGTGAACAATATGATTTTTTCTTTATAAATTATATTTTCAGCCAAACATTATCAAATTGATATATTATACATGTCATCCTTGCTCTGGTTTTTATAGTGTATATTACAATGACTAGTGATATTACACTGTGAGGAACAGTACTTATTTCTCTCTATACATCTAAGAACCCCAAGCACCTTCTGAGCAGATCTTCAAAATGTTGGTCATATGTGATTGCATTTCTCGCAAATCCTTCTCCTAACTGTGATCGCAGTAGCTTTCCCAAACCTAAGCTGATTAATAACTTACTAGGGAATATGTTTAACCTAGTGCTATTTGTCACTGTTCTCTTTAGTTATAGTTGCTGGAGCTCTTAAGGTCATGGTATAACATTGAACTCACACAAAATAGTGGATTATTATTAATAATGTTATAATAATAATAATAATGGCTTATTTTTATTACAGATCTTTGATCTGTATTAATGTTCATCTCTGATTGTGAGGACGAGATAGTTTCACACATCCACCCCAAAGGATACATACTAGACTACAGATGATCTATAATCAAAATATTCTTCAGACTTCTCTGATGTCATCTGTTATTCTCCCTTTTTTCTTCTCTCATATGAATGATCTTATCTACAGACTGAAATATAACTTACTCTCATAATAACACACATTCGCTGTCCTTCCAATCATACCTTTCTGTCTGGTAAAATACAAACCATCATTTAATTCTTTTAAATTCAATTCAAGCACAAATGAATCTATGTCCCCTCATACCATCGCCTGATCAGTTTGATTGTACCTCAGATCATTTTTTAGACATGGCCTATGATTTCTACTCCTCTCTGCAGCAAATTCAGCTATGCTCTCCTCTTGCAATCACTAATGAAATTTTCTCCTTTTCATGAGAATGCCTGGAACTGTTAGAGTCTCATGAGACCACCATTCCGTTTTTATGTTAAGCTTTTCCTGGTATGTAATTGATTTGGAATCATGGCTTCCTCATCCATTTGCTATCTTATTCAAAGACCTATTCCAGGAACTGGTAGTAGAACCACTTTGCCTCTCTTTCTTCCCCAGACTCTCCTTTGCTCCATACCATCCAAAACCTTGATAATGGTCATGATAGTAGCATGCAACAATCATTACATGTCACTGATACCTTCTCGCTGTTTTGTTGTCTGTCTGTAGACACCTGCTGAAAATACTAATAGGAATTAGTATCCATAGGAAGTTTCAGATTTTTATACTTTACACTCTGAATTTTTTTTTTTTAAAACTAATAGCCATTATTTTTGGATGTTGTGCACAGAATTTTGTGACTGGGGAGGCAGTTTTAACAGTGTGGTTTATCTGTTGCTAAAGGTAGTTCCCAACGTACTTAGGAGAGCACAGTGAAAAGCACTTTCTTATGCCAGTGATGTTCTACAATACCACTAGTGACATATAGCTGGTTCAGTTTTCTGTCATACACAATGCTGTGAGGGAACAGCAGAGCCTCTAGACTCCATGGAGTATATAAATACTTTCTGATTTTTTTCTTTTTTAACCACTGTAAAAAAAAAAAATCAAGAACAGGCAGTAGTTCAAAGCAGAAGTGCATGTCTTAAGAGCACATGCCAAATAAAAGCTGAATTGTATAGACCTATTTTAAATTAACTCCATTCTGCTATACGATAATTTGTTCTCCTTCACTGTCACGTAAAGAGGGCACCTTGACTCAGTATGATGATTGATAACCGTAAAAAGCAGAACAGAATTTAGTGACATAAGTCTTGTATTTACCTGTAAAGAATTTTCATTAAAGTCTTAGTCTTCTCCTTAAGAAATGGTGCTTCTTGAAGATTTACTTTTATAGTTACTAGTAAAGCAGTTACATGAACTTTGCATATAGATTATGGATTTTAATATATTTAATGTAACAAGGATATTCACAAAGGCTGCAAGTATGCTTTTAAATTTTTTTTCACAGCCTATTTACAATTTTTTGCTTGAATTATAAGCTGCTTATTTCAAAAATTTCTTCAGCATCATTGACAGTTGTTGCCAATTGTACGTCTCTGACAAATGTTCACTGGAAAATGTCAACCTGAAACTTATTTCCTGTTTGTAAGCTGAGCAGAGTTTGCAGTTAGACATCGATCAGAATTCAACTTCTCACTGATTTACTCATCATCTACTCCAAAATGACTTTCTGTAGGGACTGGGGACAATCATTTTGTCCCTAGTCATCTTTTCTGAAAATAAGACAAAAAGTAAGGCAACACCTTAAGATAATTGGCTACATTTCAGTTGTGTTCATATGTGGCTATAAAAAGTAAATAAATAGAATTGGCAAGGTTAAAATCCCATATTATTACAAACATCTTAATACTAAACCAGCAATCTCAATTACTGGATGATGAATGGGGATAGGTAGATCATTTAAATACTAATAATTAAGAAAAAGCCTTATATATTGTTCTGTAGTTCATTTTGGTATTGTTCTGCTACTACTGTGCTGAAAAGAGTTATTTAAGAAAAGTGAATTCTTACAGTGCTATTATGAGGGAACTGTGCTGAGAGTTGTCTATGATGGAGATTCTGACAGAAAAGTGAGTTATTGCATTTCTAATTTGTGCTCTCATTCCAAATGATTTGAAATGCCTAGGTTACTGATCATTTCCTATCCTTCCTGAAAAAAAAGAATTATTTTTATAAGGAATTATTAGGGGTCACATATAGGAAAATTAATGAATGACATCTGAAAGCAAGCCAATAGTCCACATTCATCCCCTCCTAGCAATGGAGATGTGTGATGGAGACCAGTTTTAAATAGATCAATAGAATCTATGCCAGAAATAAGTACCTGGAAGATGTATTGAACAACCAGAATCTGCAACCAGCTAGATAGCAACAGTAGTACTAGATCCATGTTAAAGCAGATTGTGGACAGATTGACTATTCTGTTAATTTTTTGCTAACATAAAATTAAGCTAGGCACTGAATTAAGCTAGCAGAGTTCATGCAGTTCAGTCTGTAAAGTAAAATACATTACACATACATCAACTTCTGAGATCTTTTTAATTCTCTTCCTTTACTGATAGACTTTATGTTACTTAGAAAAAAATGCAAAAAACCCAAACCAACAATAAAAGACAATATTTGTTTTTAGTATGGATTTATTAGTCTGAATTTATACACACAGCAAATTATTGCTACTTGAAAGTAAGTTAACTGGTAAATATACTGGTAAATATACTGCCTGATATACTGAACAAACTTATTTTTGTAATTTGCTCACATTGCCCTAGATAACTTCCTACATTATTCCAAGTCCAACTCCTTTTTTTTTTGCTTCAAATTTCTATCATGTGTGATCACCTTTTTTTTCCATGTGCTACATTGATTGTTTTCTCTGATGTTACAGAAATTTGAGGAAAAAATTTCTATTTAGCAGAGTTTTAAGTAAGCAAGTCTACGGAAGAAAGTGACCCTAAACTATTGTTTCAGCAGTTTCAGTACTCATAGACTTGGATGTATTTTGGTAATGTACAGGCATTACTCCCCACCATAGCTGCACTCCTTATTATTCTTAGTTTTAAAAACCCCAAAAATACTCAAGCATTCCATGTGCAGAATTTTAGACTATAAACTGTGGTTTAATTAAGTGTTTT